ACCACTGAGCCTGAGAACCGACTCCAAAAGTTCTGCCACGAACGCAGTTCCTCTATCCGTGATGAGAACTGTTGGAGCACCGTGCCGAAGGACGATGTTTTCTATGAAGAAATGAGCCGCTTCTGCTGCTGTAGCCCTCGGCATGGCTTTAGTTTCTGCGTAGCGAGACAAGTAATCAGTGGCGACAATGATCCATCTGTTCCCTGTGGTAGAAGTTGGGAATGGGCCCAGGAAATCCATTCCGATTTGGGCGAATGGCTTTGCTGGTACTTGAACGGAATGTAATAAGCCTGCCGGCCTGCCAGGTGGTGCTTTGCGTCTTTGACAGTCGGCACATGTTTGGACGTGATGTTTGACAGCAGCAGGCAGGTTAGGCCAGTAGTAACTGTTTTGCAGACGGGACAATGTTCGAGCGTAACCGAGATGACCAGAGGTGACTTCATCATGGCAGGCTTCCAGAATTTCTTTTCGCAGTGATGCAGGGACGACGAGCAGGTATGGGCTGCCGGTGGGAGAAAAGTTTTTCTTGTATAGGACGTCGTTCCTTAAACAAAAAGATGGCACTCCTCTCGCAAAAATTCGCGGCACGTCTTCCCGTCGTCCTTCTAAGAAATCGATAAGCGAAAGCAAGTCAGGGTCACTGCGCTGCTCTTGTGAGATAGTGGCCGCGTTGATGACTCCCAAAAATGCGGCGTCCATAGACTCGTCATTAATAGCGGCAGGCTCGACGGGTGACAGCAAGAGACAGTCTGCGTTGGTGTGCTTCTTCCCTGATTTATAAATAATGGTCATATCAAACTCCTGAAGCCGAAGGCTCCAGCGTGCTAAACGGCCGGATGGGTCTTTCAAGTTAGTGAGCCAGCAAAGCGAGTGGTGATCACTGACGACCTTGAATGAGCGGCCGTACAGATACGGTCGAAATTTGAGAACCGCCCAAACCACGGCGAGGCACTCTTTCTCGGTAGTCGAGTAATTCTCTTCCGTGCGAGAGAGAGCTCTGCTGGCATAGGCTATCACTTTCTCGGAGTTATCTTGCCATTGTATCGGTACGGCGCCCAGGCCTACATTGCTTGCGTCGGTGTGAAGTGCTGTTGGCGCTTCCTGGTCAAAGTGCGCAAGAACCGGAGGTGTTTGGAGGCGTTGGCGTAATTCGTTGAACGCTGTTTGTTCCTTTTCTCTCCAAAGAAAGGGGACATCCTCTCGTGTGAGCCGCGTCAGAGGCGCCGCAATAGACGAAAAGTTGGCGATGAATCGTCGGTAATAAGCGCAGAGGCCTAAGAAGCGTCTCACTGCTCTTTTGTCATGCGGTGCGGGAAACTTTGCGACAGCGTCGATTTTGCCCGGGTCAGGTCAAACACCTTCGTGGCTGACCACGTGGCCTAAGAAGCAAAGTTCGTTGAAACCGAAATGGCACTTCTCTGGCTTTAAAGTCAGGCCAGCCGAACGTATAGCTTGTAGGACTGCGAATAATCGACTTAGGTGTTCCTCGAATGTAGCTGAGAAGACGACAATGTCGTCTAGATAAACCAAGCATGTCTGCCACTTAAGTCCTGATAGCACAGTGTCCATTAAACGCTGAAAAGTGGCTGGCGCTGAGCATAACCCGAATGGAAGCACTTTAAATTCATAAAGACCGTCGGGCGTCACGAAAGCAGTTTTCTCACGGTCTCTCTCGTCGACCTCTATTTGCCAATATCCACTTCGCAGGTCCATCGATGAGAAATAGCATGCATGCCGCAGCCAATCAAGAGAGTCATCTATACGTGGCAGTGGGTAGACGTTTTTCTTCGTTACTTGGTTTAACTTGCGGTAATCTATACAGAAACGCAAGTTGCCGTCTTTCTTTTTAACCAATACCACGGGGGATGCCCAGGGACTCTTGGAAGGCTGTATTACGTCATCTTGGAGCATCTTCTGAACTTGCTTTTGGATCTCCTCACATTCTTTCGGAGCCACACGGTATGGGTTTTGATGGATCGGTCTCGTATTTTCTTCAATGATGATTCGGTGCCGGGTCAGTGGTGTTTGCTTGACTTTCGGCGTGCACGAAAAACAATTTTTGAACTGGTGTATCGGCTCTAGTAGGCGCTGTTTTTCCGAGGCTGACAGGGTTGAGCAAATGTTGACAGACAAAGGTGTCAAGGCTGGGATGGTCGCCTCGTCCGGTTGCAAAGCGAACCAATCTCTGGCTTGGTCCATGTCGTCGTAGTAGGCAATTGCGGTGCCCTTCTGGATGTGACGACGCTCGTTGCTGAAGTTGGTGATGAGGACTTCTGCCCGCCCATCAATTAGTGCCAGAATGCCTCTCTCTATTGAAACACCTTGCGTAAGCAATAGTGTGTCTATTCGCTCCGCTATCACCTCATTACGGCACGGTTGTTCACACAACACCGACACAAGGCAGCAAGATCTCGGCAGGAGCATCACATCATCGGCTACACGTAAACGCTGCAGTTGTTCTTCAGTGGTGGCGTCGACGTAAGGATGGGCGGAAAAGGTGACGATACATTCTGGGATGTTGATGACAGCACCGTACTCTCGCAGAAAATCCATACCCAAAATCAACTCTTTACAACAGTCCGGTAAAATGTGTACTCTCGCAGAAAATCCATACCCAAAATCAACTCTTTACAACAGTCCGGTAAAATGACAAAAGTGGCGACGAAGTTCGAATCATCGTCTACAAGCCGAGCGGTGCATTTACCGGTTGGCGTCATTAGCTGCCCACCAGCACTCCTTATGCTCGGCCCACTCCACGGCGTCTTAACCTTCTTAAGGCGGTCGGCGAGCTCTTGTCGCATAATAGAGAAGTCAGGACCAGTGTCAACCAGTGCTGTTACGTGGTGTCCATCTATAATAACGTTGAGGTTGGCACGTACAAATTCATTGGCATTAGTACTCGTGGTTGTCGTCGTCTTCGTCATCACCGTCGTCACGTCGTCTTTGTGTAGAGGCAAGGGGGTCTTTTTGGCGTCTCGGCAATTGGCAACCTTGCCCCCGGAGGTCGCGGCAGTTAGTTTCCCTGGCACGGGCTTGGGGAGTGGTTTCTGATGGCGTCTGCGTATCTTTGGCGATTCAGGGAATTCTGACCTCGTGCAGGTGAGGGAGACCGCCAGCGACGACTTGGTGAAGACGCTTGGTTGGTCGGTAGGTGATCAGCACCATGGTCACGAGGGTCTTCAGAATAAAAGGAAGCGGGCCGAGAAAAGTTTCCAAACCGGGTTTCTCGATGACGGCAGTAGCGCGAGATGTGGCCTGGTTCGCCGCAGTGGAAACAAAGGCGTTGACGGTCGGCAGTGCGCCACAAGTCGGTCCGACGTACTGGTGGTCGCCGCACAGGTTCACGCTGCCACCATGGCAAGGTAACGGCCCGTGGCTGAAAGGGTGCTTCTTCTAGGGCAGGCGGATGACGGCGGACAGCATCGGCATAGGTTAGTGGACGTGGTTCGGGTGGTGGCGCCGGTGATGGAAAGGCTTGGCGTAGTTCCTGGCGCACGATTTCTGCAACAGAAGCAACTGGGGGATCGGTAGACGGAAGGCCGAGGGCCCGCAGCTCTTCCCGCAGGATTTGTCGAATCATTTGCCGTAAAGAGTTTTCGGAAACGGCAGCGTTTTGAGCGGCGGCACCAACAGGCGTTTGGTCGGGCAGGCGGTCAAAGTGGCGGCATCGTTGCCGGAGCGCCCGCTCAATGACAGTCGCCTCTTTGATGAATCATCCACTGTTGTTGGCGGATTTCGTACAAGGCCGGCGAAAAGCGGTTCCTTAACTCCCCGCATCAGATGACGAACTTTCCTTGCCTCGGGCATGTCAGGGTCAGCGCGGCGAAATAGACGGGCCATATCCTCCGCGAACATGGCCACGCTTTCGTTCGGCTTTTGCATGCGGGCTTCAATCATCTGTTGTGCGAAATCCCGTCGGTCCGCACTCAGGAACGTCTCGAGAAGCTTTTGGCGGAAATTGTCCCAGGTTTGGAAAGTAGGCTCCCTGTTCTCGTACCATGTGCGAGCGCTATTTTCCATTGCGAAGTAGGCACGGCCAAGTTTTTCTTGCACGCTCCAACGATTCACCACAGCGGTCCGCTCGAACTGGTCGAGCCAGTCCTCGACATCTTCATACGGTTCTCCACGGAAGACTTCGGGAACACGAGGAGTCTCAAAAGTTACCTGGTAAGGGTGAGTCGTCTGGGCCGGAGGAAGATTCGCAGACGTTGAAGGGGCCGCCATGTTGGTAACAGGAGATGCTGTCAAGAGTTCTGGACTTGGGCCTAATAGGCGCCGGCTGAATCGGTGTACTGGAGTCGCAACAAGATGTTGAGGCTCCGGACTGGGTGTACGGTCCCGAACAACGCTTTCTTGCATCAGGTTGCAGGCCCCAGCGCCTCCACCAGTGTCGCGACGTCAAGAGAGAGGTCGTACTCGAAAACGCTGAGAAAACAGCAGCGGGTCGGTCTTTTTGTTAACCGCGCGAGAGAGAGTTCCTCATCTTTCTCGTTCTTGCGTTCTGCATAAAAGCGTGCAGATGCGCGTATTCGCTGTCGCTTTCGTCTTTTTCGCGGGACGCACGTGACAATATTCTACAGGTTATCACTTGCATTCTACCAAATGTCGAATCCTGCAACTACTCGAAGTTGTTTCCACTTGCTTTAAAGCAAGAAGAATAGCATTTGCACTGGTCTTTCCTTTCTTTCTCCACTATGACTGCGGGATTTGGCATAATGAATTGGTCATTCAGCAGCCCTCATACACCTAGCTTTTTTTTATACCCTGAGTCAATATTGCCCATTATGACAACTACAGGCCGCACAAACAAACAAATCAAAGTAAGAAGGTACACAAACAAGTGCTTCTTTGTGTACATATCTTCTTATTTTGCCCTACATGTGTTTGCCCAGCCAAGTTGACATAATAAATAACCGACTAGCCCGCCCATTTACTCTTCCGCGATCCTGATCACTTCCCCAAACTTTTATCTAAAACACGAGGAGAGTTGCATGACTCACAGGGTGGCTGAGGTCTCGCTCGACGTAGCACAGGATGTCGCGTGCAACGTCAGCCAGCCGTCGGTCGCGGGTCACCTGGTAGGCCTCGCTGTAAGTGCGGGCCAACTGAGCCTGATCGTACAGCATCTTCTCGAAGTGCGGCACGTGCCACCTGGCGTCCGTCGAGTAGCGATGAAATCCCTGTGCGATCAAAAACCAAGTTTTGCGACAGTCAGCTTCCTAGTAATCGAAGCCATCGGCACACCTGGAAACTTGTGAAGGCCGATTTTCAGAAAGCCAGTAGATGTGACATCAGGACAGCAAGCACACCATAAAAAAAGTTGCACCTTTCAAGGCATCTTTCAATTATGCAACAATCGTAGTTATCAGCTAGCTCCCTAGTACTTCCTTTTTTTTTTAGAAACTCTGGGCAAGCAAAGTTGAAACAAAGAATTCGGCGTAAAATGGATTGACTATTGCTGTATTACAGATGTGATCACCAAAGGGTGCCACTGTTATTAGAGTGAATTCAATTCTACTTATGCATTTTCTCCAAATATATTAAACACCTTTTTCTGGAGCAGAATTAGTACTTCATGAAACCCAGTGCCATTCACAAAATCGTGGCGCAAGGTCAAATTAGTAGCGTTTTAAGGGGCCCTGCAGCACTTTTGGAGCATGGTCACAAAACCCTGCCAATGGGTAGTAGAGGCGCCTGAGAACACGCAAGCCAAATATTATAGCGCAGCATGTGGCCAGGAATCCAGCATAAATTATCCAAGTCAGCTAAAAATAGCTTTCTCTTCTCTCGACAAATCACGGAATAAGCCCAAAAATCACTCGTAGTAAGCCCATCTATCAGCCATTGGCTGATTTGAACATGGCGCACTCGGTTGTTACAGAGGTCGCCGCGAGAGGCCGTCACTTATCCACGCGTGCGTGTGCGATTGCACTAAGTCGCGTATTTGAAGAAAAAAAAAGTGCTCAAGGTCACGAGGTGCAAGTTACATTTTTCTGTGGCCCTGCCACCTCTCCCTGCTTAGCTTCCAGCACTTTCGTCGGGTTGAGAGAAGAGAGAATGCAATAGCTGCATGCGAAAAACCTTTGTAAGTCCACTCGTACTGGACGGATTCTTAAAATTTTTGCGGTGTTGAATTTGAGAGGTAATACGCTTTTTCAATGAATTATTTCCGTGGTCACTCAAAAAAAGTGTTCCAGGGCTCCTTTAAAAAATTGGGGCAGCAGATAAAATATATGTGAAATATATGTGTATATATATATGTAAATATATGTGATGTTGATTCTGCAACATTACGCAACCTAACCATATTTGAGATGAATAGTTTATCATATTTGACTGTGGCTGACAAACATATTTCAGTCTTGAGAAAATTGAAGAGATACACTTTATCGGCCTTAATCATGTGTTTCAAGTCCACGGGAGTTACACTCCTTGCCAATCACATGTGGTCAGGATGTTGAGGGATGCTCTCTTAATAAACATACACTGGACTCTCAATAAAGGAAAATACGTTAAACGGAACTGCCGCTTAAATGAAGCAACTGCCTCCGATATGATTGCTTTAATCCCTGCATACAGCACCCTAGCTCGCCTCTCAGTAAACGGAACTTGTGTCAAACGGAACACATTTTCCCGGTCTGTTCAGGTTCTATTTAATGAGAGTCCACTGTGCTCACTTGAGGAGAGTCGTAGGCAGAATGCCACGAGCATGAATAAAGTGTAAGACATGGACCTCCCAGTTCTCATCTTCTCTGAGTAGAAGTAACACACATGTCACTCACAATAAGTCTCAATATGTACTGTTCTAAAAAGAACACCCCAGAATTAGAGACAATGCAACTCAATGACACAGTTTTAAGACTCCCTAGAGCTGTAGAAATCATGCGGAAAGACAAAGGCTTACTTGCGCTGCCCTCAAGGCCTTTAATGACCACAGCTTTTTCTCAAGTTGCCAAGGGCAATATTGGTATGGATTGATTCATTGGTTCACTGACCGGCTCACTGATTGAAACGGGCACAATAAGCACAACTCTGGCTTGAGCGTTACCATCCAAAAAAAGCCTAACACTTGCCTTGCCAATGTGGTCGTGAATGCCACCCCGAGCCATCATGCGCAGTGTGTGGACGGTCATTTGGAGCGATTTATCCACCGCTGTCTTCGCCACCGGCGGGGGATTCCCCTGAAGCAACATGGCGCGGAACCTCAACAGGAAATTGAGGTTGACGCACTGGGGGAACTTGGGGGCCCGCCCGAAACCTCCCGTGGTGAGGTCGTAGGATCGCTCTAGCTGCCGATAGCAGGTGGTGGCAACGTCCGGCGCAAACGGGCACTTTTGGTTCGCTTCGCTACCTCGAGGGGTGGTAGGCGCACCGTCCCCCCCGAAGACGCGCACGTCAGACGTCTGCTCGAGGATCTGGAGGATGCGCGTGCCCTGGTCGACGAGCTTGGTTCGGTCCTTGCGCCACTGCAGGAAGATGCGAACGCTGTGGCTGTAGTTCTATGACGTTATTAACATAACGTGGTCCTGCCTACGATGTCACCGCATTAAACGAAGAACAGCCACAGCAATGGCTGCGGTCTTTGAGTCAAGTTGAACTGCATGCTTCATTGCTCCTGTATTATAACATTTCATGCATGTGAATGCAAAATGAACAATACTGGAAGCAGTTCATTTCCCAGGCGTCGCAAGCAGCTTCGTTGCCATGTACAGTAGAGCCTCAATAGTATGAACTCTCTTTATTAGAGTGACGAAAAATATGAACTGCATGGCTGGCCCTGGTAGAAAACGCACCCATATTTGAACTCTGTAAAAGCTACCCAGTGGTTGCTGATGTTAAAATTTTTTTTACGGATGCTGACCAGCTTTCATTAAAAAAAAAAAACTTGAATCAGATTGACTCATGCACCACCTACCTTGAAAATAATCAGAGAACTGCACTGCCATAGATAGCTGGGGGCACGGGAAGACAGTGCACACATTTAACCATATTCCACATTTAAGCACATTTCATATTTTGTGCATGCCAGGTATTACTTGCCACTTTGAATCTCTGCTCTCTACAACCAAATACCGAACTAAACAGCTTGAATACCCGACACCTTTACAAATCAGTATCTGCGGGTTCCAAATAACGTCAAGGGGCACATATTAGTGCATCTTTTTAAGCGTGTTGTTAAATCGTATTTGTTGTCCTCGGTGCCTGCATAATGTGATGCAAGAGCTAAAACGCCATGTGCTTTTCTGTCTTTGTTTTAAAGACTTTCTGAATTGCAGTTAAACCTGCTTATAAAGAACCTCTATATAATGAACTCCTTGATATAACGAAGTTCTTCTATTTTACGCCATTACTTCGTAGATACACATGTACAGTACAGACCACTTATAACGTAAGTCGCGGGAGTCACAAATATTCGCAGCATAAGCGGTACCGCATTATACCCAAAACAACCTTTTTTCAAGGGCAGCACTTTCGCAAAACGTGTTGAGCATGCAGCTTCGCGTATCCTGAGAATCATAGCATGTGATGCGTGCGAGCCAAAATTTAAATTTCTGAATGTTAAAGGAATTTACCATCCAAAAAGACGCGTTGCCGATGAAATGAACGCGAAAGGGGGAGGGCAAGTGTCTAACAAACGAAAGCACCATCGCGGAAATTTGCTGACTACCAGACTGCCTCGATTATGCACAATACACAGAAACTATGTCAAATTACATCCAGAATTTGACGTCTTGAAAGATGCCAACCATTTGATTTCACGGGAGCACACCAGACTTCAGACATGGCAATCGCATTGCGAAGTGCTATTTGAGCGCTACCCGTCAAGTGCGGCCACTGTAAAGAGTTTCATTGATCTGGTACTTAACCATATCTAGATTCACGCGACCACTACTGATCGAAGCGCAACCAATGCTGATTAGGCCTAGCTTGCCGTCTGGTATGCTGTCGCAGAACGTTTGTCTAAAACATGGAGATTCGGCGTGAGAAAGATCGCACTAGCAGTGAATTAAAAACAGCGTGCGTGATACAAAGTTCGCGTTCGCAGTCGGGAGATCAGCAACGACAACTCTCCAAGCTTACAAACGACAGTACACTGGCAGCAAAAGGGAAAGCTCGCAACATAAAACCGTAATGGGTTTTCAATTTACAGACGAGAAAGTGAATGTGATATTTGTAGCAAGCTCGATAACGATGACGTCTTTCCCGACAGGAAACCGTTAATCCCATCGCGCATGCAATTGATAAGGACGAGCACATGTGCCACATTGAGCGGCGCGTGGCTGAAGCCACGCTAGCGACGCTGTATGCTGTAGCCACGTCGGCGCCGGTGCAAACGCTTATCGGTCACTGAGGCAAACATCCTCCTCTCTTACTCGGCGAGCCTCTTTTTCTTCACTCCACCCATCGTTCGTTCACTCCGTCTCCCCTCCACCTCCGTAACGACCTCATCGTTCGCTCCCCAGTAGGCGCACACCTTTCAGAAGTTCACTCGCTACCACGTTTGTCACAATTTTCGGCAACGACATTATAACCGGTCTTTCATCTCGGGGGACTGCACAATAAGCGGTATGCGTATACATGGGTTTCTATGGAAGGGTAAACGGGAGTATAAAAAGACCGCACTGTAAGCGGTTCTGCACTATAAGCGGTTCTGTTATAAGTGGTCTACACTGTATTTACAATCTATATGTAACAAAGTAACAGCGGAAGTCAACCTTGATACAACGAATTTTGCCCCGGATTTTGTTATTTTGGCACGAGCACGCATTTTTCGCGGTTGTTACGCCGGCAATGAAACCGGAAGTGGCAGTGGCGCGCTCGTGGGCCCGGCGACTCCCACGCGAGAGTGAGCGTTTGTTATTGCGCGTGGATGTGTTTGAGGCAAACAGGCAGGCCTGCGCCCCGCAAGCCGGTATTGTGGTCGTTCTTGCCGTCGCGGCGCATGCACGATGTGCCTTCCCACTCAGAACCAAAAAAAAAAGTACTATACTTTTGCGTTGGCAGTGCCATGCTTTTAGTTAGCATCACATATGTGGAGCTGCGCTGAATATGGAGGGCGCTTTACCGAATAGTTTTCCGTGGTCCTTGTCATTCACTCTTCGTTTTTGACGCCGTGCGCGCGTGCATGGTTTCGCTGAACGCGCATGGTGTGGCCCCGGACAACGTCCAGCTTTTCCTTTTTTTTTTCCTTTTCTTTTTAATGCAGACAACTGCATCGTCACTACCGAGAGGATGTCAGATTAGGCGCCGATAAAAACTCTCTCAGACAACGGTGATGGCGGATCTTCAGAGGTCGACTCATTACGCGTTTGCGCCGCGAGTTCGAGGGACCGTAGCCTTCACAATTAGCCAATTAGCTTTGGCAACAACATGACAGTGCGTTGAATGTAATCTAATGAATGCGAGAGCAACAAATTCTAATGTTGCACGAAGTAAGGCTGGCAACCAAATCTCTCGGATCTTCAGATGGACTGAAAGCTGCTGGGCCGGTTGGCGACAATACTTGAACATATTTTAACTCGGTGCACGACTAAGCGGACACAAGAAAAGAAGGCACAAACCACAGCGCTGAGGCTTATACCTGCGTTTTTTAATGCTCGTTCAATACCGGTAGCTTCCTTTCTGTTTGAGCCTTCTACAGCAGTTCTAACACGTGGAAGGGGGGGGGGATGTTATTGTATGCGCCCTTCAGGCGAGAAAGATGGGCCGGCTCATTTGGTCTCTGTTTCAGCAGTGCTTGCGCACTCTTACCCGCTCGTAGAAGCTACACATTGAGAGGGCATGTTATCAATTCTGACTTGTCACGGAACATGATGGCCACAGCAAAAACCCACCGAGAGTGTCCATATAAAAAGTTTTTCACCGCTAAATAAGTGTTTTGGGTTAGCTCTGCCTTCAGTTCTTCTTGTTTAATTTCTGTGTTTATTTTCTGAATTTTTGTGTTGAACCTGCATATAACGAAATCCTCTTTATAACAAATTCTTCTGGGACTTCAACATATTTATTATATCCAGGTTAACTGTGTGTGTTTTTTTTTTTTTTTACAGCGAAAGCTGTTATGAGAACAAAACACAAGTCATGCGCAGCGCCGTATTTGTCCACTGCCACCGCCGCCGGTTTCGATAACAAGGATCTAACGAAAAAAAAACTCAGTAAATAAAAAACCGCAACGACACTATAGGATTCGACCCCGGGTACACTGCGTGCAAGCCCAGTATTCTATCACTGAGCCATGCCAGTGCTTGGAACTCGTTCCTAAACTAGCCTTAGGCAGCTTGATATTGGGAAAGGAACCACGTTAATATGAATAATAAAGCGTTTTAGAACTCAAAGGGACAGCCAGGCAGCCCACAATGCGAATTGCGTCCTGGTTCGTCCAATGCTCCAACCCATTAGAAAACTTGTTCTTGGTCACCTATTAACTGCAGCGCACCCACTTCATGCAAAATTCTTCATCATCATCAGCCAGTGCATAATAAAATTGCAGCAAAATTTCAAGCAAGTGTGTAGGGGATACCACGCTTCTCCAAATAATGACGAATGATAGCATAATGAAATGCTGGCCTACTACGCAAAAACTATGATTAGTTATGGCGTAGTGGGTACCCAGCAGTGTGATTACAGCAGTTACCTAAAGGGTGTTTAGAAAAGGCTTTGAAAGGCTGCTCTTCCAGCTTTCACTGTGGCTGTGCTACTCGTTCTGCACAGGGATGGCATTTTTTTTGGGGTGTGTCCTCACCTATAGCTAACTGGTGCCACGCAACGTTTTTTTTCCTAATAATTGGCTCCCCTTTTCACTGCAAAATTTCCTAACAACATTCACAACCCTGTCAAACAGTGCTTGAGATGTGGGGCCATTGTCAGGCAGTTAATGTGCCTGACATCTGCGGTATTGAAAAACAATGAAAAGTGAGAGAAGCACCAAATTATTCTAATTAACGAGGATCCCCAGTACAACTGATAACAATGAATAATGAAGCAGTCACTGAGTAAAGTGCTGGTTCGAGATAGCTTGTAAATGTTGTTTCTTTTAGTGCGCGATCAACAGTGACATTATGTAGACACACAAAATGCATTAGCACTAACTTCGAACTAACATTTAATACCAGATGTTTTGGAAAAACAAAAAAAAAAGAAAAAAGAAGGAAATTAACAGTGATTATAAACACATGAGCTTGCCATCTCATTCTCTTCCTGCAAATGAAACTGGGTTTTCCTAGTAACAGCTAGTGAAAGGCACTTTGACGACTTACTTGTGTTGGTATCGAAATAACTGGCATTCAACATTTTTAGCCCACCCAAATTCCTTCCAACTACGAAGCACAGGCACAGATTTGTATGTCCGACCTGCTCAGCAAGGCTGGTCAGGAGAGTCCTGAAGCCAGGCTGGCCGTGGTACCGGTCCTCGGGTGGGAAGTAGGTTCCCCCAACCACTGGCTTCAGGTCGGGCGTGAGCCATATGCTCATGGGCCAGCCGCCACCTCCAGATGTGGCCTGCAGAAGACAAACGTTTGAGACTCGAGTAAACGGATCGAAGGAAAGAATAGCGAAAAGTAATGCAGACACATCGCTAAACCTCAATCCACGAATAACTGGCACTTTATGAGAAGTTCTGGAGGCTCCATCAGAATTCTTGCGCGTCCAGAGGGCGCCAACCTCGCAAGCACCAAGGTTGTGAAAAGATAGTCAAATATGTGACTCTGCTGATCTGAAAACAGCAGGCCCATTGTTGCTGACATCATGAAATAAGATGAGGCACGCAAGCACAAGCACCAGAGAAGAGAATAAAACAACTCGTGCAAGTTAACCAAAAGCCGGCTCATGCACATGCGCTTTCACCACTATAGATATGGCAGGGCCTCGACCACTAGACGCGTTTCTTCGTTCTTGGGTTCGTATAAAACTGCGCATTCACCAAACTCTGGCATGCATTCGCAAGTGCAGCGATGCAAACAAGCCTTCAATGAACAACCTCCCAGTTAACGACTCCTCCAGGAATACCAATAGTGCGCCGAGTCATTTTCATTCAGCGGTAGCTTTACTCGAACAAACATAGCATCCCTGGGCTACTGTGCCGAGCTTTTATTCGTAGTCTCTCTGCTGAGCAAAAACTTACAGCACGCAAAAAGTGAAAGGCTCTCACGGCTAAATTGGCACCAGCCAAAGTTTAACTCTGCTCCTATGTATCAGTACCAGCATGCACTCTGGCATTATTGTGCGCCCGTATGAACTACCTCAAGAGACGGGATGTTTGCCAACTCCGGTTGTCAGTGCAATTATGCAATAAAACAACAAATGGCACCCAAATGCAATAAGTACACGTCACCACAAACAAAGCTTACTTAATTAAAAAAAAAAAGCTTCTCCGTGCCTCCTTCTTGAGGGTTATGAGTTCGATGCAGCTGCTTAGTCAATCCGACCAGTGGGGTGTGAGCTCTGTGTTTCACAATTTCCGTTATCAACTCAGTGTTGGCAAGCCACCGTTTTCATCTGCTGCTTTCCTACCACTATTTAAAAACTTGCATTCTTAAATTTGCATAATCCTAAATGTTCGTTGCATAATCCTACAAACTTGCATAATCCTACATGTCTAAAAATGAAAAATAAGCATCTCAGACCTTGAAGGAAAAAGACTTCGCTAGTAAACAAGCGTTTGAAACAAAGCACACGTGGGGTAAACCGTGATGCTTCTCAACATGTATGGAGAGTTTTGTGCCGAAGGCACATACTTATAGCAAAGAAGCAGTTGGCAATTCATTAAAAGGTCTGGTCAGCAGTAAATGGCCAATGAACTTGTGGATCTTACTCCTCTGCTTTTTGTTCGTTGAGTGCAGTTGGAGATTAAAAACACTTAAAAAAATTTTAAAAGTGATAAAATCAATGCCTAATCATAATGTATGGTGTTGCCTCACCCAGAGTCATCTATCTGGGAACTTCTGATAATTCAAACTTCTTGATGATTCAAATGAAATTCAGGGGTTCCTTCGAGTTTGAATTAATGAGAGCCGACTGTACAGCCCCAGCTATTCGAGATGAACACGTTGCCCGCCCATACCACTTCTACAGATGCTATATTTAAGGACTCTGTTTTCTTCAAAATTGTGCGACCAAGCAACAAATGCCACTTGGGTATGTTTATTTAAACAAGTATGCACCCTCATGATCATCATTTCTTCGATACAGCAAATGGCTTCTTGAAGCGTACAACTATTCACTCAAACTGGCAATGAGTGTTATGGTTTCTTCACAATGATTTTCCCAAGATGTGCGTCTCTTGAAATTACTTGGCCTCATTACCTCCTGTCAGCTTAAACGTTTAAAAGGTCTGAGAAACAATTCTCATGGTACTTGTTTTCTTTAGAGAAACGAATAGCTTGCAGATCAGTGTGTCTAATATGCATTGGTAATGCGGAAAACACCGTGAAAGATTCATTATCGAAACTTCAACCTGCGGCAAATTCAAAAAACAGTCGACCTTCATTAATTCAATTTCGAAGGGACCTCTGAACTCTATTTGAATTATCAAAAAGTTTGAATTATCAAATGTTCGCAGATATATGACTGTGGTGAGGCGACACCACACATTACGATTATGCATTAATTTTATCACACTTAAAATTTTCAAGAGTATTTGAAACCTAACTGCACGCAATGAAAAGAAAGCAGAGGTGTAAGGTCCACAAGTGTATTGACCATGTACTGCTGATCAGACCTTTTAAAGAAATCGGGAAATCGGGAAATTCTTAAATATTAGTGAAAAAGCAGCAGATATTTCGTGGTATAAAACAGCAAGAAGTACAAATAAACCAAATGATGGAGTTTGAATGAAGAGGATTTGAAATAAACTGAAAGAATAGAGGGCCAACCAATAAACTAAATTTTGTTTGAATTAACCAAAGGTATGAATTATCAGAGTTCGATTTATCGCGAGTCGACTGCAAATATAATACACTCAACACACACTATAGTGGGCAGTAAATAAGGCAGCAGTTTGTGTTTGTACACTGTGGTTTGTTGCGCATCCGTGCACTCGTCGCGCATGAACCATGGGCTCGGCATTTTCCACTGGTAGCCACGAATGCAGCGCCGCTTTTTCAGCATCAGCACCTTTTATATGGTAAGCAGCATGGATTAGAACAGGGACGGTTAATAACTTAATATTCCAATTTTAAGCCCCCATTCTGGTGCACATGAAAGCATCAGACAACAAATAGCTAAGGAAACCACTCCATAATCCAGCTTCAAGGCTTTTCCATTTAAGCTGCGCAACATAGTTTTTTTTTATTTTTTATTACACTTAAATAAGATTTAAGACTGCAAATTCTACTCATATCGCAAAAGAGATGCTTATATCTCTCACTGTAACTCATTGTTTTTTTTTCATATCCATCATTATCATCATTTATTGAACCTGTAAAGGTCTTGCACAAGGCATTACATAAAGGAGGTTCAAATCACATGTTCCAATAAACAGGTTCTAATCACATGTTCTTAACAATCTTCAGACTCTTCAATGACACATAAATATGGGAAGGCAAAGTGTGGAAACGCATCGGTACTGGCAGCCTTACCTGAATGTAGGTCATGTAGACGCGGTCAACGTCCGGCCGCTCTTCACGGTCCACCTTGACGTTGATGAAGTTTTCGTTCATGATCTTGGCAATGTCCTTGTTTTCGAAGGACTCGCGTTCCATCACGTGACACCAGTGGCACGTAGAGTAGCCCACTGCATACGTTGGCAGGCAACACAGTTAGCTGGGATCAGCGATGGTGAGGTCAGATGCAGCAAACTCTCATTACGAGTCCCTCTCATCAGCCAATAAAACTAATTTTGCAATGCGTTTTCCTAATTAAAACTGTTGTAGAGCACAGAGAATTTCGTGTAATGATGCCTTGGAACGATAGTGCACATATAGTATTGTTTCTATTACACTGTTGTAAAAGCAGAGAGCAAACTCGAGCCATGGTTGGTATTTTGAGAGTAAAAAAATTATGCTTCACGCAAATGATACACATTTTCTTCAAGTTCAATTGTTGTAACATGTATTTCTGTACGTGGCTATACTTCTTGTTGACAGTTTGTGCAACGCGCCTTAGATGAACAGAAAATTTGCCTGCCAATATTCACCCGAAAAACAATTCTTTTTGTCGCTGGCCCTGAAAACTGCTTCTGAAGCCACCGTCAGCAACCCATGAAATGCATCACATTTACAAAGCTAATTACAAAGCAGGGGACACTGTATACACTTGTCTAGATGCATTGTGAATCCTATTTCCTCTGTGTATGAGCGCACAAGTGACGTAAGGAGGCATAGCGGTGTGTCCATCTATTGAAGAGCGCTTGAAACGGTGACTGTAAGTGTACAGAGCCTTTCACACTCGTGTCGCACAGAAAAATTGTGCCCATAGCAGCCAGATTTTATGGGTCTCCTGGTCTCTTCACAGGAATATGTTTTACCATTCAACTTATTCAAATATAAATCGAGTGTAAGATACCCTGCAATGCATTCACGTTACAGTAGAAACACGTCTTTTTCAGTGTAGGGGCAACATAACAAAATACTCCAAACAACATTTAAGACGGAGTAACTTGTGAAAGTGTTTGAGGTATGTGAAGCCATTATTGAGAATATAATTTGTTTGTTTATCAACTCTCGCTCTGACTTGTTCTTTGGGCCACAGCCGGCGTCCGCTGGCGCGCCAAAAAGGACCACTTCTAAATTGTCCACGCTTTCGTGGTGCGGTTCGGGGAGCCGATACTCCGGCCCTTGGAATTAGCCCGGCGATCGCCTCCCTCATAACGGGACAGGTGTGACAATTAATCTGGCGTCCGCGAAACAGGACCTTTTGGTGCACAGTGTGTCCAAAGTAGTGAGAAAGAGCCTCGAGTTGTTGATAGTGCTATCGGAAGGATTTTGTGTGTTGTTCAGTGTTCTCGTTAACGAGTGCAGGGGAGTGTTCCGATAGACTGATTTAGGCAGATACTTTTTGCACGCGGCAAGGTTTTAGTTGCGAGTTGCGAGACACAATGGATCTCGAAAAGTTAGTTGCTCTTGGTGAAAAGATGGGTCTTTCTGGCGCCGAACTACGGAAGTGGGTCACCCAGAAGGAAAAAGAAGAAAAAGAGAGAGCCAAAGAAGAAAAAGCAGCCGAGCTGGAAAAAGAGAGGTTGGCGGTCGAAAGAGCCAAAGCGGAAAAAGAAGCTGAGGTGGAGAGAGAGAGGTTGGCAGCTGCGAGAGAGAAAGAAGAAAGAGAGGCAAAGGAGCGACAGCTGAAAGAAGAAAGAGAGCAGCAATTGAAGTTGGAGCTGGAGAGAGAGAAGTTGGCAGCCGAAAGGGCGAGAGAAGAAAGAGAAGCGAGGGAGCGCCAGCTGAAAGAAGAAAGAGAAGCGGAGATGGCTGAAAGGCAACGGCAGCGGCAGCACGAAATTGAACTCGAGCGGCTCCGTTTGCAACAGCGAAGTGAAACTCCCGTCCAAGCTAGAGTTGAAAGCAGCGAACAGGAAGACCATGGCTTCCGCTTGAACCCAAGCAAGCTGCTCGTAGCGTTTGATGAAAGGAAGGACGACCTTGACGCGTACCTTCACCGATTTGAGACGATTGCGAAGAGCCAGAATTGGCCGGAACATCAATAGGCAACTGCTTTGAGTACTTGCTTGAGTGGTGAAGCGCTCAGTGTGTACGGTAGGCTGACGCCGACCGATGCAGCCAACTACACAAAGGTGAAAGCTGCTTTGCTGAAGCGATTTAGATTTACTGTAGAAGGATTCCGGGACAGATTTCGGACAGGAAAGCCAGCTGATGGGGAGACGGCTACGCAGTATGCCGCCCGACTTTGCCATTATTTCGACAGATGGATTGAACTTTCAGGGACAGCGCAGGAGTACGATGGGCTTAGAGAGCTGCTAATTAGACAACAATTTCTTACTAGTTGCCACCCAAGCCTGTCACTGTACTTAAAAGAGAGGAAGGCTGACTCATTTGAAGACATGCTGGAATTGGCTGATCAATTCTTGGAAGCGCAAGGTGGCACTAATTTGGCCAAGGTCAAGAAGGATTGTCCCGATGATTCGAAGAAATGGGCTCCCGAAGAAAAGAAGCGTGCACCAGAGAACATTCCGCGATGTTTTCTGTGCAACCGAGTGGGTCATCGCGCGAAAAACTGTCGAACGATCTTTACGAGCCCTACGGTAGTGAAATGTTTTAAGTGTGGTCAGACTGGGCACAAAGCAGATGCATGTCGAAACGGAGCGAGTCAAACTCACCAGGTATCCTGTGTGCAAGCAGCACCGAAATCCGATAATAATGCCGTCACCGACGGATTCGTAGAATTGAAAAATGGGGAGAAAATTCCTATTGTTGGTGCTGTAATGTCAAAACAGTCGACCGGTGTTACGAAGCGAATGCCAACACTGCCTGGAAGGGTTGCGGGCAAGAAGATTACGGTTCTAAGAGACACCGGTAGCTCCACGGTTATCGTGCGGAGAAATTTGGTACGGGAAAGTGAGTTGACAGGCAGAACGAAGCCGGTTTGCCTAATTGACCGTACGGTTCGGATGCTTCCCGAAGCAGAAATTGAGGTTGAAACCCCGTACTTCAGCGGGAAGGTTACTGCTTTATGCATGACGACCCCCCTGTATGACCTTGTCATCGGAAACATCGACGGGGCGCAAGGGCCAAGTGATCCAGAACGTTTGGGAGAAGACCCGACGATAGAGCCCTCGTCAACACAGCGGCCGCGAGATACAGTGGAGGAGCATCCCGTGACGGATCTCACTAGAGCCCAAGGTGAAGCTGCGGCGCAAGAGACAGCGAAGGAGAAGACGATCGTGTCGAATGAGTTCACGGGCCGAGCAACTGGACTTACGTCGGCACGACCTCAACCGACCGACAGTGTAAAGGAGACGGAGTTGGCCAGCCGGGCAAAATGTAGAGGCATGATCAAGCGGGTAAATAAACAGACAGGACCCGTCGAATGTAATGACGCGTTAACGGTGTCGGAAGTGACAACGATGGCTGAGACGCCGCCTCAGATATCGTCGTTGGAAAGGGCTCGCCGAAAAAGAACAAGGAAACACAAAAAGAGATCGAGCGAGCACCGCAAGAAAGGGCGCAAGCGCCGCGCAAGGTACACAGGATAAGTGCTGAAGTCGAATCAGAATGTGTTGGGCAGTGCTGAGTGCCATACGTTGAGTTAATGTTGTGTTATCCTGTGTCACAAGTGTCGAAGTGTTGTGCTGTGATGTGATGTATAGTATTGTACCATTGTTGTAATGAGAGAACTTTGTACATTTGTATTGTTGGGAATGTGTGGTGGAGTGTTGTACTCATGCGCTTGTGGTTGTGTTTTCACGTGTTGTGTAATTGAATTAAAATGTCCAATCGTATTGAGTGATATATTGTGAATGTGAAGTGTCATGAGCGACGGATTGTGTTACAGTCTGTGAGAATGTGTGGTGACTGTTCGCGCTCGTTTGTGTGGTTTTGAATATTATGAGATAATATTCTTAAAGTGGGGGGCAGTGTCACAGAACGAGCGCTAAAAAAAAAAAAGAGCGCGCTGCCAAATTCTTGCGACAACGGGCGGGAGAAACGCTGCGAGGTCAAAAAAAAAAAGAAAAAAAAAGAAAACAAACATCCAAGGCTCCCCGGGCGCGCGCTCTCCCCGCGGAAGCGTGGCGTCGCAGACGAACCTCCTCACCCCGCATCGGCGGCCCAGCAAGCCCGCGATTTTTCCAGAACGAACGGGGCGTGGTCAAACCGAGTTGAATCATCCTCCGGGGAGGGCAGTCGAACCGTCTCGCACCTCTCCCCAACCTTCGCTGCGCATCGCGCCGACGAACTGAGGAGAACGTTCTGGAAGGTGGCGCGGAAGGTATTTAATCGAGCGGCCGAGACGAGAAAGCAGGAGGAGACGGAAGTGAGCGCCAGAGCGCGTAGGGATTCCGCCGTGTAGTCGGCGAAGGTTTTTGGTCCGTAGGGACGAAGCCGGAGATGAAGAGGATTTCCACCTGCTGGTGAAGGCTCGAGCTACAGGCAAGAGCGTGTGTTTACCGCTATTGAGCGAGGACGCGTGGCAACAGCTGCGTGTGTGAAGCCGACGTGGTTCCGGCGAAGAAGTTGAAGTTTGAAGAGTGGCCAATTGGAGACGGGAGGTTTCCTGGAAGAGAAACTTCGAGGGCTGCGGAACGACAACAACGCTGGACTTTGAGTGAGTGATTCTCGGAAGAGTATCATCTAGACTTTGGTTCCAAGAACTTTGGACTGAATAGGTTTTCTATCTCTTTAGTCTTTAAGTGTCTTGGTTGTTCAATGCATGCGACTGCATTGTAGTGCGTATTGTTGTCCGTGTCCGTTGTTTCAAGTGTGGCTGATTGTATTGTGTAGTACGTTGATTGATTGGTTTGATTGGGGACATATTGTATGCAACTATTGTGGAGTGTGCTTTTTTGTGTATTGGTTTCGATCTGCCATTATTGAGAATATAATTTGTTTGTTTATCAACTCTCGGCTCTGACTTGTTCTTTGGGCCACAGCCGGCGTCCGCTGGCGCGCCAAAAAGGACCACTTCTAAATTGTCCACGCTTTCGTGGTGCGGTTCGGGGAGCCGATACTCCGGCCCTTGGAATTAGCCCGGCGATCGCCTCCCTCATAACGGGACAGGTGTGACAACTACAAATAGCTAAGGAAACCACTCCATAATCCAGCTTCAAGGCTTTTCCATTTA